AAAAAAAAAAAAAAAAACTTGCTTTGCTTTTTGAGTCATCTTCTAATTTGCTGGCTGACGTCCCCATTGTGCACTAACGTAACCACACAAGCCGCTGAGATCAGATTTGCATAATGTTCTGAATGACACACTGTTCCCATTGTGTCATAGGTAGTCACACTCTGACTCAGCAAATATTTTGAAGTGTATTACAGATACTTGTGCATCCACCAGAGGGCGGAGGAGGAACTGCCACTGCTCCCAAAAAAAAAAAAAAACTGGTTGCTTTTTGAGTCATCTTTTAATTTGCTGGCTGACGTCCCCATTGTGCACCGACGTAACCACACAAGCCGCTGAGATCAGATTTGCATAATGTTCTGAATGACACACTGTTCCCATTGTGTCATAGGTAGTCACACTCTGACTCAGCAAATATTTCGAAGTGCATTACAGATACTTGTAAATATGTGTAATAAAAAAGACTGGTACAAATCATACTAATTCACCAAAAGAAGCCAAACAATATATTTCTTTCGTGTCTATTATACACTGCTTCACAGTGCTGATGTCAGGGGGTCTAAATGTGGCCTGTGAGGGCAACCCTGACAAGGGACGCCACGTGCAGAGACCTTCTGAGGAGCAGGTTCCCAAAGTTCAAAAGGGAGCACAGAGAACTTTATTTTTTAATTATTATTGTACAAAAACGTTTAACCTTCAAATTCGTATTTTGTCTTCCTATTTTTCTAGTTCATGGCCAAAAATGATCATTTTGTGTCCATGTTCCATCTAGAGTATACTGTGGCCTGCCGGCATGGTAGTCAACTAGTTAACACGTCTGCCTCACAGTACACAGGTCATGGGTTCGATTCCTGGGTGGCGTTTGTATTTCCCCACGTGCCTGCGTGGGTTTTATCTGGGTACGCTGGTTTCCTCCCACATTCCAAAAACATGAAAGGTAAGTTATTTGATCTATCTAAATTGTCCTTAGGAATGATTGTAAGCGTGAAGGGTTGTTTGTCTATGTGTGCCCCGCAATTGGCTGGCAAGCAGTTCAGGGTGTACCCCACCAATTGCCCAAAGACAGCTGGGATAAGCTCCAGCATGCCCGTGACCTTTGTGAGGACAAGAGGTTCCGATAATGACTGGACGGATGGATAATTATTATAATAATCATCATATAACTGATGCAGTCACACATAAAAAGATTGTTACATACAGACACCAGCAAAACATGGAATTTGCTAAATATTTTATTTTACATTAATTGTTTTCATTACATCTCACTTATATCACGAACGGAGCAAAACTGACATTTCAATGGACCAGGTGACATGTTTGTTCACAGACATTATAAATCTATGGAGTTAATATAATTTAACCCATACAACATGTTGGGAATCCAGAAATTGCCAATACTCTATACAGGATTCCCTTTTTGCAGTGCACATCTTGGGCAGTAATCCTTAATAACAGTGGCGAGTCAAAAGGTTTTTCCTGCATAGAGGTGTGATCCAAGTCGTCTTCTCCTCCTTCCGAAATCAAAAAATTGAAATCAGTGGGTTCTCTTTAAGCTCCGTGCTCAATATGCAATAGTGCAATGCCGACTAAAAACAATGTGCAACCCACCACATATTGATTATGCACTCCGGAGAGAGCATTCTCCTGACATGAATGTGGTTCTGTGTCCAGTCGGAAAAGTAGGACATACTATACGTGCATGTAGTACAGATTCTCCCTCAGCAGAACCAACATTAGTTTTAGTTTTTTTTCTTTGGAATCCCTTTGCATGAGTTGAAAAGGTTGATGATTGTCTTTCTAAATTAACCCCCAACCTGTCACAAATAAGATTTGCTTTTCAGCAAGGGGGGGGGGGGCAACTTTATTTCTAACCATTTCACAGTTAGACCCTGTGCTCTCCCTAAGGCACAGCACACATTCTCAACCACGCTCAATGCCTCGCCAATTTGCATCCATTTCTCTTTGCAACTTTTGGGTGGTTGAACACAGACACCAATGCTGTAATATTCACACCCATGCGTGCAGAGAGACAAATGGTGGGCGTTGCAGGGAGAAAGGTACGGTTTGGGGGCACAGGGTCTGTCTGTCTATGATGGGCTAGAATGGAAGGACTCTAAACCACATAAATTTAGAGTGTGGCTTCCCACCTGTGTGAGTTAATTGGTATAGAAAATGCAGATTTTAGACTCTGATACCCACCTTGCGTGCCACCATCCCATAATCTGGCATAATCAACAAAGCGCTGCTCCCTCGTGCTTTACTTCATCATTCTGACCAAGCTTTGTGACTCAATTAGTAGCCTATTCTTAGGGGGGTTGTAATTGAGTCACAATGCCAAGCACTGACCTCCACATTGTCCTTAATTGGTTGTTTTACTTAAAGGCTTTGTTCAAGGTTAGTTAGCGCCTCTCTCGTCACAGGTATCATGGGACGGGCTGCCAAATGACCTGTACTTTTACTTCCGCTTGGGGTGGCGATGCCATTAAGAAACTTTCAGCATACCAGCTGTGTTTGAAGGATCACTGCCATTCCTCAATCAATTTCATCAAAGGACTCGAAATTAAATCTATAGTTACTCCATTCAGTACTTCTGCTATCAGTATACAGCGTTTAAACGGCAGAGTACTCACATAGTCACTGACTATCGCACTGCTGTGAGAGAGGAAAACACATTTTAAAGAACTACAAGGACTCCGGAGAACTAATCAAACATTCAACGTTCCGCCAACAAAGGTTGACTATTCAGATAACTCCACTTCCATGTCATCAGAGAGCACATGGGCCTCATTTACACAATGGGCCAGCATAGCTACAATCTTTAACACGCAACAGTGTGGTTACTGAAAGTCATCCCATCGTGGCCAATCTTTACCGGACCAATGAGCTTCTTTTAAACAAACTTTTGGGCCACAAAGGAGGCAGGTGGGATCTCCTGGCAGGCTCCAGCCTTGCGAGTAGCATCCAGGAAGGGGCTCCTGAGCGCCGCTGCGCCTGCCGTGCTAGCATCGGTACGTGAGCCAACACTCTGCAGCACACGGCTGGAAGGTCGATGGTTGAGAGCCAATTGCCTGGAGCTGTACCCGCACATGCCGATCCCCACGGCGCCGAGAAGCATAGCCATGCCAGGCATGGTCTTCTCGGGTGGACGTACCACACACACATTGTGGTAGGCCTGGGTCTAAGAGAAGAAAGACGACAACTCTGTTGATGGACTTGGATGGAGCGCGAGAAGTTACCTGCAAGCTTTCAACCTAATGCATCATGAAAAATTCAACATTATGTACTGGTTCAAGGTATATGTATTGATAGATATTCTTAGTTTGAGGTTCAGTGAGTCCAGGTTATTACGTAGCTTATTTACCATACTGTTTTCCATTACATGAGTCTCACCTCAGACTTCTGACCATTTCAGTTCTCCCGTAACGACCATGAGAATAGGACCCACCTGTCTCTCTTTTCCTATATTGTGCTCTATTTTGCAACATGGACAATCTTGTGCAGACTCACAATAACAAAGCAGAGCAAATAATAGGAACCTCATTTTCCAAAACAGTTGTGTCGCAGGTAGTTAAAAAGCCATTCCAGAAGCGCACTCACCCAATTCTCATCGCCATTGACAACTCAATGGGCTGTCACAGGCTTACATTTCTTCATTGTTTGTGTCACCGACAAGGTAATTATGTGACGTGAGCTAAGACAAAATGCATACTATAATTATGGAAACGGTAGCGCGGAATGACTGTGTGTATACAGTACGACGTGTGCATTTCACTGTATTTGGAACTGAAGCAGTTGAGTCACCAGCCAGATAAACGGCTACCTGATGGCAGCATAAAGCTTAGTGAAATAAAGTTGATGTATGCTTGGCCTCCAGCTAAGCCGTGTACGTGCCTATAAAATCGCAACGTTGAAAGCAGTGATTACATCAGTCTTATAGAACTACTCCTCTGTATGCACGAAGGCCACGTAGGACCTTTATTTAGCAGTCACTCTTCTACCTGCCTGAATAAACAGCTAATACCAAAACATAAGAACAATTCAATCTCACCTGCAGCAACCTGATGTAGCCTGGAGTCAGTATTGGGAGTCTGAAAAACATTTTGCCAGTGCTGTTGATGACTGAACAATGACCCGGGTTTCTGCAGTTCCCCGTCCTGGACTCCCAGGAGGGGAAACCCGTCAACAGAAGCTGTACCCCGGTGTGTGCGATCACTTCAGCCTGTCGAGTTTAAAGCAGGCTTGTCTACCCTGATAATGTCTCCTTTTATAACAGGCTTTGGCAGTTGGTGCTCTAATGAGATTACAAGACTTGGCATGTGGGGGACTAAGAAGTAAACACAACCAAGACAGATACTCCCGTCGGCAAACGGAAGGCGCCAGTATTTTTTGAGAGGCAGATCTTCAAAATGTCTTACATTTTTGAGAGGCAGATCTTCAAAATGTCTTTCAAAATTTTCTTGAGATTAAAAAAAAAAAAAAAAAAGTCAAGGCCTGTACTTCACTCAATTCATGCAGACGCACTGACCTATCAATTCACGAGGTAAACCAACAGCAGGACTTTAGAGAGGAATGCACAGTATATTCTTCAATTCATTAAGGCTTAATGTGGGAACCTATGTCACGATAACATCATACATATTCAATGGCATACAATGCTGACGGGATTCAGGTGATGGGACAATTGTCACCCCGTTGTGAGTTTTGTGGCGCATACATGATTACACCTCACAGACAATCACAGCATGCAAAGATTTCAGCCAGGAGACATTTGTCATCGGTTGGCTTGAGCTGACGTATCACGGCCGGGATTGGCTGGCCTTCGCGTTGCGTTAGAAGGCAAGCTTAAAATTGAGTGCCACATGCAGTTTCAAGCGGGGAAAACCTACATCATTGATTTTGAGGTATTAATATATGGAATGTTGGCATGTCGATTTAGCCGATATAAAGACAAATTGTTCAGCCACAGCAAGATTTTTTTTGTAAGTCTGAGTGCTCAACAATTCAACACTAGTATTTCTGAACACAAAATAATGACTATGATTTAAAAAAACAAAAACAAAAAAAATACAGTTTTTAGAGATCAACTTGGTGGGTCGGCACGACCCCCTGTGACCTGTCCTGCTGTTACTGAAATTGACCCCTTGGCACATTTGTGTTTTTTGCAAGTCACAAGTAGAGATCAGGAGTAATTGTAATGGGCTGATTGTGCCCGCCTGTGTGCCACATGGGTACCACCCAATCTGTGACAGCCACAGTTCTAGCTAAATTGTCGGCGATCAAATAATCTGCACTTAATTCAAGCAATACAGTGCACATTATTATTATATTAAACTTGCAACGTTTTTTTTTTTTTTTTTTGGTAAGCAAACCCCTAAATTCAACAGGTGATCATATAACTACAGTATAGCTCCCAGTTTATATACACAAACAGATCATTCGGTTCACGCAGAGCAAGTTGTTCAATTTTGGGAGACGCCAGCTCTTAGTCAACACAACACAATAACACTTTCCAGTCATGTTAATGCTCTGCCCTTATCATGAACTCCTCCCTTGGCAACAAGCTTTGGGTAAACGCACCAGAATAGAATACAACTGGCGTCAGGCTCCGCAGGAGGCGCGGGTGCTCAAAGCGCAACATGCATCCAACATGCTGTGTTTCTATCTTTAGTATAAAGTTAGATAACGGCAACAAGTCTTGGTGAAACAAAAGTTGCTAAATTAGTTATTTATTCCGAATTATTCACCCCTTTGAGTGGAACTGAATGAGCAAAGACTGTCTTTTGAAATGAATGCAACAGTGTTTTGCAGACAGTTGGTATAGTTGATAAGTTTGCCAGTTTTAAATGTCATGACAACAACTAAATACTGACTTCCAGCAGTGCTGGCATTTACCTTGCTGGTAATTGGGGGTAAGACATGACAGACAAGTGTTAGAAAGTTCCATTAATTTGAACAGCATAGAAAAAACAACAATGAGGTAAATAACAGATCAATACAACTGAAGTTTCTTAATTGGGGTGAACAAAAAGCTTTGTTTCATTCTTGTAAGAGAGGGAGAAAAATCCACAAATTAAACAAAGACAAAACATTCACATCGAATCACAGGGTGACTCAAGACACAAATTTTTATATGAACACTCCAATATAATTTTGTCTGCAACATCTGTACTGGACTATGGAAAGTCATTCCCTACGAAAATCTAACTGGTAAAAAAAAAAAAAAGTAGTCAGGCAGTTATGTTAGCGTGGCGATATGAAACTAACATACTTAATCCTGACACGGTGTTGGTGTATGACTGAGCTTCTCAGAGAGTTCAGTATCATTGCCTCCATTCATGGGAAGAATGTCTGTCATCCAGTAACGGAACAATGTGGCAACCGCAGTTGTTTCCTCTGAAACAAACACAAGAGAAACAAAGTGTGGTACTTGAACAGAAGTACTTGCATGGCAACATTAATGGACAAAAAAAAATGTCCGAGAGAATTCTATTTCGGTGTGCATAAAATGACCATTAGGTGTGGACCAGTTAAGTCAGGGGTGTCAAACATACGGCCCGCGGGCCGGATCCGGCCCGCAAAGGAGTTTAATCCGGCCCGCGAGATGATTATGTAAAGCAGGGGTGTCAAACATACGGCCCGCGGGCCGGA